TTAAAGGGATTCTCTCTGAAATTGCAATATCACAGATTAAGAAGTCTCATATGTCACAGATATGCAGTAAAAAACTGATTATAGCTAAAATTACTTGGTATACACAACTTTTCAAAACATCTGTAGCATACCCAATGACCAAAAATAATTCTAGAATTAACAGCTGTTCATATAAATGAACTGAATAAAAGGTAAGTCAGTTTCCTGGGCAACTTCTGAATGAGATAACTATACGAACATAACACCAAATTGATAAATATTATCTAAAAAGTTTTACAATGAAATTAATGTATTTTCACAAGTTTATACAGTTTAGGAGGCAGTCATAATTTCATCATTAACAATAAAGTCGAACTCAAACTATAAGTACATAGAACAAATATGCAGTTATTCATTTATCTGGAGCTTTTATAATTCCACTTGAAATTACAAAATTCCAGGGTTACTACTAAAAAGAAGTGCTGTGCTATACAACAAATAACCTCAAACAAAACTGGAAACTTTAATTTTCCTTAAACTTCAATGACATATCACCAATTCCTTCACTACCAAAATTTCATTTACAAGTGTTTGAAACATGCATAGGATCAAACAGGTGAGTCCCCAGCAACCAAAACAAAAATGGTGAGTCCTTAATTAGGACAAATATATAATTTCCTTACCATAGAATACAATAAAAGCAATAATATTTATATTGTTTTCAGACCATCTCTAAAATCATAAAATTTAAAAACACTGATGCACTTACCAGCAATTAAATAATGCTCTAGAGCTTTCAACAGGGCTAAGGTATACCTGTTAAATGTATATGACTGGTTTGTTTGATCAGAGTGGTTAAATTATTTGTCAATGTGACTCTACGAGAAAAAAGCATTAAAAGAAACCTTTTATTGCTCGGGAACAAAAACCATCCAAATCAACAGGCAAATGTAAACCATACTGACACAACTATTCTTGCTGCCTCTTGTACTCTTGCTTCCAGTGACAGTGGTTTCACAGTACATCATAACTGCACTTATGGTCGGAATGCTGCAGAAAATAGTTAAGCATATCCTTTTTATTTTTTTATTTTTTATTTTGCATATCCTTTTTAAAGCTTTATTTATTTAGTAATCTCTACACCCCACATGGTGCTTGAATTCACCACCTCAAGATCAAGACTCGCGTGCTGTTTCACTGAGTCTGCCCCGGCACCCAATACTTAAGCACATTGGTGTCATGTCAACCTATTTACAAAGCACCCTGGCCGCCTCCCACTTCCTTTTTTTTTAGGATTTTATTTATTTATTCATGAGAGACAGAGAGAGAGGTAGAGACATAGGCAGAGGTAGAAGCAGGCTCCCTGCAGGGATCCCGATGTGGGACTCGATCCCAGGACCCCGGGATCTGACCTGAGCCACCCAGGTGCCCCAGATATAGAATACTTCTTTTTTTTCTATTGGAGTTCAATTTGCCAACATATAGTATAACACCCAGTGTTCATCCCATCAAGTGCCCCCCTCAGTGCCCGTCACCCAGTCTCCCACTTCTTTTTTAACACCATAGCTGAATGAAAGGGCTGATAGCTTGAAGACATTAATGTGATAAGCTGAAACAGATTGACTTTTACAAAGAAGAAGGTCCTATAAGCTCTTATTTCATTATGAAGATGACTATGATTTCTCTTGTAATTCAACTGCTATTTTGTATGTATGTGCAAAATTGTTTGTAACCTGCACACAGATGTATCAAATATTAGATATTTTTACTCAGGGGGATCCCTGGGTGGCTCAGCAGTTTAGTGCCTGCCTTCGGCCCAGGGCGTGATTCTGGAGACCCGGGATCAAGTCCCACATCAGGCTTCCTGCATGGAGCCTGCTTCTCCATCTGCCTGTGTCTCTGCCTCTTGTTCTCTCTGTGTCTCTCATGAATAAATAAATAAAATCTTAAAAAAAAAAAAGTTTACTCAGTAAGAGTCAGGATTTAAGGGCACAAAGCAATTTTGCCTAGGTCAAATTGCTGAGGCTCATGATATGCACAGTCATACAATTATTAACCTTAACATAAGGTTAAGATGGAAAATACAAACTACATACTCACATTTGATTGACATGATAGAACAAAGTGCAAAATGATGCCATAAAAACTACACAGGACAACTAAGTTTCACAAGTGAGGAAAATTAAGTATTTAAAGCAAAAACTGGGAAGCCCAGGTAGCTCAGTGGTTTAGCGCCGCCTTCAGCCCAGTGCATGATCCTGGAGACCTGGGATGGAGTCCCACATTGAGCTCCCTGCGTGGAGCCTTCTTTTCCTCTGCTGTGCTCTGCCTGTGTCTCTCTCATGAATAAATAAATAAAATCTTAAAAAAAAAAAAAAAGCAAAAACTTTTTTTTTAATTGTCCAAGCTGTTTTAATTTAATTTCCATGAACAGAGAAGAAATGTAGCTTTATTCTGGTATCACTATTTTTATACTAATAAATTTCAAATACTATAAAAACAGTAAACTTGTAAAGTTCAAACAGACATATACCTATATTTGATGTCTGATAAAGGCAATTCTCCTCCTGAAAAGAACACTAAATAGTTAACTCTCTTTTACCTTAATCTCAAATTTCTGCCTTTGAGATCTTTGATTTTCTTCAAAGGCAGAAATCTGGGAAGTCAATTTTGGCCCTAGACCTCCTTCTCCAAGTGTATTACACTGCTGGCTGCTCTACTACCTAAGCTAGTAGACCAGAGAGTGCGATTACTCATTCTCTATCCTGAGTTGAACTAATACTTTAAAAGCTGTTACTGGACAGGTCGAGAAAGACAAAATTTCTTCCTGCAGGACACCAAATGACTGCTTCTTTTACTTTTTCAGTCTCTAAAAACCCAGAGGAATTTGGTGAAAAAATGTGAAGCTGAAGGTTGACATCAACACTCGTCGATTTTTTAAACAAGGTAGATTTTTACATGTTTTAAATAGGTTAAATTTTGGAATAACAAAGTTCATCTTATTTTCATAGTGCAGAAACTTAAGACATATCCTATGAGATATGGAGAAAGTATTCTGCAAGGAGGAAGAGCTTCAAAAAAAAAAAAAAAGGAGGAAGAGCTTCTCCAATGTAATAATGACTACACACTGCAGTATCTTAAGCTAAACTTTTCAAGCAGTGACCTGACAGATGAGGTCCACCAAACTGTACTAATGCTTTTTAGATAATATTAATATACATCTACAAGAGACAAGAATTTAAGACATAGTATCTATTTTGCAGGTAATCAAAAATTTAAATCAAGAGAATCAAAAGCTATGTACAAAAGGGCCAACAACCAAACTGTAAGCAATGACAAATGATTAAATCCAAACCACCAAGTTGCTAAGTTATAGGGAAGCTGCTATTCATCTGAACCTTTGCCCAGAACACAAAAATTTGGAGGAGAAATGCTGATGGTTTAAAGAGAACAAGTGTTCTAAATTTGCTGCCTCATTCCTTTATCACCACAGCTAATCTTGACCTTGCAGAAGCTTCCTTTGATACTGTTTCTACTTAATTGGCCAAAAACACTGGAAAATCCAACAGGGTACCAAAGCTCTTATGTGGAAATCCACTGTTCAAAAAAACCTAGAAAAAAGGGGTGTCTGGCTGGTTCAGTTGGTGGAGCATTCAATTCTTAATCTCAGGGTCTTGAGTTTGAGCCTCATGCTGAGTGTAGAGATTACTTAAAAAAAAATAAAAAAAAAAAGCACCCCAACACCTATAGAGTGTATCTAAAGTAAAGATCAGAAATTCAACGTTCTTTAGAACAGTCAACCTAAGATTCTGGCAAAGGAGACAGTAATGTATTTTAAAACCCCTCAAAATCCTTTAAGGTAACTAAATACAGAGCAAAATTATCTGTACTCTCCTGGGCTTATGACCCGCTTCTTTTGACAAAAAGGTTTTTTTCTTTTCTTCAAAGACTGAGTTCCTTTAAGAACTACCACCTGCTCATGGTGCATTTTTTTTTTCTCTCAAGAAGGCATCTGCACTGCAGATCTCCGCACGAGGGGAGCTTGAGCTTGCCAGCCAGCTCCCACCAGCAGGCAAATGCGTATACAATGGAAACTAAAAGCGGCCTGCAGCTTCCCTCCTAGTCTTTCAGAGATGGGAGAAGGGTTCAACCAGCTCCTGCTTTGTCTAATTTCTCTCCCCCTCCCCCCTTTCTGCGCTAAACACCCCCTTTTGTTACATGCTATCAATAATAGCCTATAGAGCATGAAATCAAAACGTGTTGACGACTTGGCATGACTCTATTATCTTCCAGAATATAAGCAACTGATTGCCTGTCCCCACCCCCACGCAGCGCCAGTGAAGAGCAGGCTGTGTTGCAGATGCAGCCACGGATCCATCTTGTACCATCAGCTGCTCCCTCCCAAATCTTCCCTGAGCTATTCTCATCACGCCTCCTCTTACCTCGCGGCCTCAGAAAAGCGGGCATTTAGAGAGTCTCGCTACAAAAAAACTTACAAGCAGATGAAAAGAGTATAGAAAACGGCTACAATGTTTCCATTAAACTTCCTGACCCTCCCTACGGAAAACCAAAAAAAAATTTTTTTTGGGGGGGAGGGAAGACTACCATAAATTTATTATGTCAAGACCTGTCTGCAAACCTGCAATGCAACCCTTTCACCATCAAAATCCTAACTAGTTCTTTCTCCGATAACCAACCTGCCCCAATCCTCTCAATCTCTCTAATCCTCCACTAAATCACCCCGGTTCAGCGGACAGCTCCCCCGAACTGGTGTTTTCCCCACCTGCCCCGCCTCGACGTATACGCCCACTCCCTAAAATATATATCCCCCGCCCCCAACCTGTTAGCCTCGCACCCCGTTATTTCCTCACCGCCAGCACCACCTTACGCTCCCCTCCCCCTTAGCCCATTTTCCAGACGCTGGTTCCCGGGGACTGAAGCTTCCAGGAGGCGAGGGCAATTTGCCTTCCCCGACCCCCAAGCCATCCCCCCGAGGGCGGGGTTCCCCCGGCGCGCCTCACCCGCACACGAGGAGCCGCAGCTCTTCGCCCCCAGGGCGGGGCAGGCTCCAGGGCTCCCACCGCCGGGCGCCGAGGGTTCGGCCCCGGAGGACGAGGAGGAGACGGATGGGGACTGAGTGGCCGCCGACGGCTCCGCCATGGCTGCGCAAGCAAAGGCAGGAGAGGGGTAAGAGAGGTATGGGACGGGAGAGAGGGAGGGGAAAGAAAATAATCGGGCAGCTGGCTCTCGAAAGCCCCTTCTCTCCTCCTGCTCCGAGGACAGACTCCGACAGACTGACTGACTCAGCCGAGCGCTGCGAGGGCGGGAGCGCGAGCGCGCAGGCGCACAAAGGGCTCTCGGGCGGGCGGCGGTCGAGCGAAGGCGCCCAGCGACGCAGGGCGCAAGCGCAAGAACGGTCCCTCCGCGTTCCTGTGGGGAAGGTGGGGCAAAACTGGCTTCACGCGGCGTCCGCGCGAGAGGCCGGAGTGGGCCTCGCCCCTTAGGGAACCAGTCGCAAGGGGCGTGGCCAAGCACCAAGCTCCGCCCACCGATGCGGCCGAAGTGGGAGGGGCCCCCGCAGGTTAGTGTTTCTTCCTCTTTTGTGTCTATTTTAGGGTTGGCGGATTATGTGTTTTAACGATGTAAGTTTCCCTTGCTTCCTATAGCTGGGGTATGTCTTTCTCATAAATTCCAGAGCGGATGTCTTTTGTCTGATGCGTTCCTGCCTGTGATTCCAATGAAAAGTGAAAACCACAATGTGGATAGGCCCACTCTGCAAGGTGCTTTATGAATTTTTCTGGATGTGTCGTAATATCACCATGAGGCAGAGATGGTACTGTCTCCCACTTGGTAGGTGGAGCAGGATGCTATACAGAATGAAAAACTATTACTCATTCCAGTCATATTGCAATGCAGTCGCAGAACCTGCTTCATATTCTTGTTTCTGTTCCCAAGAGAGGTCCACTATGGGTCTTAAGGCTGGCCTTTCCTCCAAAAGGAAAGGTTACCAGGTAAAGAAGACACATATTTTTTTAAAAGATTTATTATTTTTCTTTAGATTTTTATCCTTTTTTAAAAAAATATTTTATTTATTTATTCATGAGAGACACAGAGAGAGGCAGAGACACAGGCAGAGGGAGAAGCAGGCTCCATGCAGGGAACCCCACGTGGGACTCAATCCTGGGTCTCCAGGATCATGCCCTCTAGCCCAAGGCGGCGCTAAACCGCTGAGCCACCCAGGCTGCCCAAGGAGACATTTTTTTTAAAGATTATTTATTTATTTATTTATTTAGTTAGTTAGTTAGTTATTCGTGAGAGACACAGAGAGAGGCAGAGACACACGCAGAGGGAGAAACAGGCTCCACGCAGGGAGCTGGATGTGGGACTCGATCCCTGAATCTGGATCACACCCTGAGCCAAAGGCAGACGCCCAACCACTGAGCCACCCAGGGGTCCCAAGAAGACATATTTTGAAGAAAAAATAGCTGAGTTAATAAGAAAAAGAAGAACCAGGAGATAACATCCTGGCTGTGGTTATGGAGGAGGGTAAAATGAGGTATTTAAAATTGAGAATATGCCACAATATATACATAATTGAATTGTATTCACAGCCTAAATGGGGTCCTTAGCAGAAAACTTATTTGAAACCAAGTATCTAGCTTATACTGGACTTTGCTTACTTTTTTGTCTTCTCTTTGGTTGGACTGTGAAATAGAAAGCCTTCTCCATACTACTTGGTTACAATATTTGTTGTGTTTTTTTTGGTTACAATATTTGAAATGTGCATAATTCTCTTCAAAAGGGTACTGCAAAGTGAAAATGACAACAATCAAAACTGTAGGCCTTGTTATTGCTAAAGCAGCAATCGATGACCTGAAGGGCAATTGCAAGATCAGCAGATCCTGTAGAGATACAGCCTCATGAAGGGAGAGATAGTGAGCCAGACAGCAAACACAGAGGGAAAGCGATCTGACCAGTGGAAATCTTCTAGAACAGGAAGTGGACTACATCTGCCTTTGACAGTTTTTAAGGTCAGGTAGAGCTCAGATAGGAAAAAAACTGGCCATTGCAACACTATGAATAAAAGGCACAGAAGATACTTCCCAAAATAACTTGGTGGCAAATATCTTACTCTGACACAGCATCAGTTGATAATGCAGCAATCTGTCTTTTAGATGACAAAGGGAAATACAGGCCAATCTGATAACAAGGCCAGTTATTTACCCATTCTTATACATGCATAAACTTTAAAAATATATGTTGCTAAGAGCTGGATAAGCAGATGAATGATGCTGGCCCCTAGCCCTGACAGCGATTGCTAGGACCTGAAGACCTGGTTGAAAAGGAAGCCTGGGGGGATCCCTGGGTGGCTCAGCAGTTTAGCGCCTGCCTTCAGCCCAGAGTGTGGTCCTGGAGTCCTGGGATCAAGTCCCGCTTCAGGCTCCCTGCATGGAGCCTGCTTCTCCCTCTGCCTGTGTCTCTGCCCCCCCCCCTCTGTGTGTCTCTCATGAATAAATAAACTTTAAAAATCTTAAAAAAAAAAAAAAAAGGAAGCCTGCTTTCATGGTAACTAGAAGCAGAGAAAAGAAGCTAAAAATCAAGACACTGATGGTGTCTTGGTGGTCCTTTCATACTTTTAAGATTTCTTACATCAGAGGCATTTGTGCTAGGTCCAATTCCTGACCTGTGCCCTCTTGCTGTATCAGTAAACTTCCCTGAGACTCTTGCTTGAGATGTTATTTGTATATATGTTTACTGATCACCTGCTGAGTGAATGACACTATCCTGGGAAATTTAGAGGAATCCAAAAAATGTCCTATCATCAGTGAGCCTACAAGGTAGTTGGGGCTTAAAACACACTCACATAAAAGTAAAACTAAATAACGACCAGAACAGCTCCCAGCAACACAAAACTCTAGTGTTCTGCTTAGAAGGCAAGTGAATTGTACAATTTTAAAGGGAGAGGGAATCAATATAGAGTTGTAGTGGCTTGGGGAGGTCTTATGAAGCACAAAGTCAGGAGTTTCTAATAGTAAGGAGGTCGTTAAAGGCAGAGGAGAATGGTATGAAGCAAATGCCAGGGGCTGCTTTTGTGCAAGTGTACAATAAGACCTCCTTCTGAGTAGACCAGTCCAGAAAAGCACCCCTCCTCCCACCCCAACCCATGATGCACTTTAATGCTGACTTGTTTAGCAGAACTTGGCCTAGATTTTTTTTAATATATATATTTTTTAATTTTATTTATTTTTTCATGATTGTCACACAGAGAGAGAGAGAGAGAGGCAGAGACACAGGCAGAGGGAGAAGCAGGCTCCATGCACCGGGAGCCCGATGTGGGATTCGATCCCGGGTCTCCAGGATCGCGCCCTGGGCCAAAGGCAGGCGCTAAACTGCTGCGCCACCCAGGGATCCCAACTTGGCCTAGATTTGATCCCTTCTTGACATTCCCCTCCGCAGGCTGCCTTAGACCTACACATAGAATGCACAACCATCTGTGGTGCTAGAGGGTCAGAAGTGTGATGCTGTGTAAGGTGTTTTGGGTGTGGTTAGCCCAGGTTGGCTAGAGCCAAGGGCTTAACAAGAGGGAGATAAAATGGGGGAGATGTGTTGGGACTAGAGTGTGGAGAAGCAATAATACAGCATAAGGAACTGAGGCTTCCTTTAAAGGCTAATGGGGATTCAGTGAATGTTTTCAGACAGGGAAAGGCTCAGATGGGATTTATTATTATTATTTTTTAAAGATTTTATTTATTTGAGAGAGCAGAGAGAGAGAGAGCATGGGGGAGGGGCAGGGAGAGGAGACACAGACACCCCACTGAGCAGGAAGCCTGATATGGGCTCCATCCCAGGACTCTGGGATCAGGACCTGCCTGAGCTGAGGGCAGATGCTTAACCAACTGAGCCACCCAGGCGCCCCTAGATGGAATTTTTAAAGTGCTGGAGCATAGCCACTTCTCAGTTCTTTGGAGCAATTTTTCCTGCTGAGGCACTGAGCTGAGTCTCTTCTTCCTTGGCCCTGTCTGTATAGGACTCGTATTTACCCAGCTAATTTCTCCACTCAGATTCTAGGCCATCTCATTATCCCATCTTTTTCTTGCGTATTAGAAAAATATATATTTTTTCTTTTTTTAATATATTTCTTAATTAAAAAATTTATTTGAGAGGTGCCTTGGTAGCTCAGGCAGTTAGGCATCTGCCTTTGGCTCAGGCCATGGTTTTGGGGTCCTGGGATTGAACCCCATGGCAGGCTCCCTGCTCTGCGGGGAGTCTGTTTCTCCCTCTCCCTCTGCCTGCCACTCCCCCGGCTTGTGATCTCTTCTCTCCCTCTTTTTTTTTTTTTTTTTTTTAAGATTTTATTTTATTCATGAGAGACACATAGAGAGAGGCAGAGACACAGGCAGAAGGAGATGCAGGCTCCCCTCAGGGACCTATAGTGGAACTCGATCCCTGAATTCCAGGATCACACCCTAAACCAAAAGCAGAGCCCAAGTGCTGAGCCATCCAGGTGTCCCAATAAATGCAATATTTTAAAAAACTCTTTGAATATATTCATAGGTAATATATTCCCATATATATGAGTGTATATATACCTTAAAGTTTTCTTCTATTATCAACCTCTCTCCAGCTACTAGTCTCCCCTTCTACACACACATAGGTAAGTACTGTTAGGAGTTTTGCAAATGCAAAGGTGAAGATAGCAATATCTTTATTCTCATTCACTCTCTTTAACACAAATGAATGCATGCTATACACAGGTATATTGCTTCCTTTCCTTAATAGTAAATTCTAGTGATTTTTCAAGTATCTTTTTTTTTTTAAGATTTTATTTCTTTATTCATGAGAGACGGGGGGGGGGGGCAGAGACACAGGCAGAGGGGGAAGCAGGCTCCATGCAGGAAGCCCGATGTGGGACTCAATCCCAGGACTCCAGGATTATGCCCTGAACTGAGCAGACGCTTAACCACTGAGCCACCCAGGCATCCCTCAAGTATCTTTTTTGAAGAGACAGAGAGGCATGCTGTTAACAATAACAATAATGAAGCAGCTGACAGGTCTTGAGCTTTTAGTGTTACCACCATGTTGAGGGCCTGATATCCAACTTTACAGCACTCTATGAGTTATTGACTATTTTTCTTTTCTTTTGTTTTTAGAGAGAGAAGGGCAGGGGAGGGACAGAGGGAGAGGGAAAGATAATCTTTTTTTTTTTCTTTTTTTTTAAATTTTTTTAAAATTTATTTATGAGAGGCACACAGTGAGAGAGAGAGAGAGGCAGAGACACAGGCAGAGGGAGAAGCAGGCTCCATGCACTGGGAGCCCGACGTGGGATTCGATCCCGGGTCTCCAGGATCGCACCCTGGGCCAAAGGCAGGCGCCAAACCGCTGCGCCACCCAGGGATCCCGGAAAGATAATCTTTAGCTGAGTGTGGAGCCTGATGCAGGGCTCAATCTCATGGCCCCAAGATCATAATCTGAGCTGAAATCAAGAGTTGGATGCTTAACTGACTGAGCCATCCAGGTACTCTATTTTCTTTTTATAAACTATGACACCAAATCAATAACTCATTTTATACACAGAGCTTAGTAGGGTATAGATATTTAAATGACACCCAGCTGGGCACCTGGGTGGCACAATTGGTTAAGCGTCTGATTCTTGATTTCGGCTCAGGTCATAATCTCAGGGTCTTGGGAGCCAGTGCCATGTGGGGCTCCCCACTCAGTGGGAAGTCTGCTTGAGGATTCTCTCCCCCTCGTCCTCTGCCCCAACCCTCCAAAATAAATAAATAAATCTTTAAAAAAAATGATCCCCAGGGATGCCAGTAGTCCAGTCTGTCCCTTCTGAGGGTCCTGTTGCTTAAACATGGATCCTATGAGCAGGCAGTAGGAGAAAAGGCTGAACTGAGGCTCAGCACAGTCTCTGTGAGTGATAATTATTTACTTGGCTGTTTACCCCACAAGACTGTGAGTCTCTGGAGGACAGGAATGTGTCTTACGCATATGTCAGCAATACTGCCGAGCACTATGCCTGACACATAACAATTTTGGAAAGCTATTTTGAAAAGCTTTGGAACCTGAGTCACAGTGGATGTCACTGCAGAAAACAATTTTGTTATTTCTGTGCTTCATAAAATACTTGATTACCTTGAATATTTATGATTTTGTTTTGGCTTTCCAGAATGAATATAATTACCAATTTTTGAGCACTACCCATGCATCAGTCATAATTACCAAATGCTTATATCTCATTTAACTCACAACAACTCAAAAGCATTTGGCAGCAGATAATGAAAGAAGTTCAAAGAGATTAACTAACTCACCCAAGTTTGCACAGCTAGTAAGCATCAGAGCCAGAATTTAAAGCCAAGTCAGTCTGACTCCAAGCCCTGTGGTCTTAACCATTGAAACATGTCTACATATCACTCGCTTCTGGAAAACCACGAGGAAAGCTTGGTATCTGGTCTTATCACATGACTCAATTCAGAATGGATGGCTGAAGGGAGGCTGTAATCAGTATTATCATTTTTTAGCATTTTTAAAAAAGATTTTTATTTATTTATTCACTAGAGAGAGACACACAGAGAGAGAGGCAGAGACACAGGCAGAGGGAGAAGCCGGCTCCATGCAGGGAGCCCGACACAGGAATAGATCTTGGGACCCCAGGATTAGGCCCTGGGCTAAAGGTGATGCTAAACCGTTGAGCCACCCGGACTGTCCATATTTAGCATTTTGAATGTCCACTGTTTTGATGACCCTGGCTATTTGAGAAGGAAACAACACTAACAACAAAACATATTTCTCGTTTACAGGAGTTGTTTTCTAAGCTGTGACTAATCCTAAAGTCTGCCTTTAATTTGTACTGTGTTGTTCTAAATGCCAAACACTTCTACAAGGTATGGAAGGCTGATGTGCTGAAAATTATATCGAGACAGATGTAATGTCAATGTTTCCCGGTCACTTCCTGACAGGAAGCCCTATTGGGAGCCCTTAAAATAGAACAGGGTATTTTGTCCAAAAGCAAAAGTTAGTGCAGCCTGGGTGGCTCAGCAGTTTAGCGCCGCCTTCAGCCCAGGGCCTGATCCTGGAGACCCAGGATCGAGTCCCATGTGGGCTCCCTGCATGGAGCCTGCTCTCCCTCTGCCTGTGTCTCTTCCTCACTCACTCACTCTCTCTCTCTCTCTCTCTCTGTGTGTGTGTCTCTCATTAATAAATAAAAAAATAAAATATTAAAAAAAAAAAAGCAGGGATCCCTGGGTGGCGCAGCTGTTTGGCGCCTACCTTTGGCCCAGGGCGCGATCCTGGAGACCCGGGATCGAATCCCACGTTGGGCTTCCGGTGCATGGAGCCTGCTTCTCCCTCTGCCTGTGTCTCTGCCTCTCTCTCTCTGTGTGTGTGTGTGTGTGACTATCATAAATAAATAAAAATTAAAAAAAAAGCAAAAGTTAGGGACTTAATATTAAGGGAGCAAGAAAGTGAACGAACAGTGCTAGGTGTCACATACCCCTTCTTTACTCGTCCCTTCAGTACATATTAAGAATTTCTACTATTGGACAGCCTGGGTGGCTCAGCGGTTTAGCGCCACCTTCAGCCCAGGGCTGATCCTGGAGACCCAGGATCAAGTCCCACATCAGGTTCCCTGCATGGAGCCTGCTTCTCCCTCTGCCTGCGTCTCTGCCTCTCTCTTTCTCTGTCTCTCTTGTGAATAAATAAATAAAGTCTTTAAAAAAAAAAAAGAATTTCTACTATCTGCCTGGCATTATATGAAGCACCGTGTATTTATATAGCAATGAACAAAAACAGACAAAAATTCCTATTCTAGTGGGAAGAGAAACCAAAATATTATGTTTTACTTAAAACATAAGTTGGATGGTAAGAAGTCTAATCAAATTGGATGGGGAAGGGACTCGAGAATTCTGGGATGTGTGTGCAGTTTTAAATTCCTGTACTGTGTGTTGCAATTGTGACAAGTCTTTGGCCTTTGGCCCCTCTCTCTTTCGGAGCATGCCACAAAATGGCCTGGACTTGTGTCACATCTTGTAGGTCCTGCCTTCTGCACACCTAGTGTGAAACTCCAGTAAGCACTTGCCCTGATGTTCATGTCTAGTTTCCTGCTGGCCAGAGTGGACTAGATCTAATCTAGACTCTTAAATCTAAAGGCTAGAGAAGGGAATTCAAGTAATCTTGAGAGTTTGGGGAGAATAAGAAGGCAGGGGGAAAGAAATCAAAATAGGATCTCTTTAGATAAGATAAGGCAGAATTATCTCTCTTCACCTCTGTCCCAATCGCTCCGGAAGTAAGAAAAACAAACTAACAAAAACCGCTCAAAGGCTTGGCAGGGCCTGGAGGTAGCTGGAAGGAGGTTCTGAGTAGATTGTAATAGTTAAGGCAGAGGCAGAAGTGAGGCGCCTCGCTGGCTCAGAGGAGCATGCAAGCTCTTGATCTCCCGCTGGTGAATTCGATCCCCACGTTGGGGGCAAAGTTTATTTAAAAAGAAACAAACCGAACTTAAAAAACAGGCAGAAGAAAGTATAATTTATCTAATGAATGAGGGAATGGTGACGCCAAGAAATGGTGGTGGTGGTGGGATGGATGCCTCCAACTACCTACCTCGGATAACCGCTCCTACCTCAACAAATCCAAAACAAAATTCTTCACAACTGACATTTTCTTAATCGCATGTGAAATGTGAATAAAAGCATTTTCAGAGAACCTTGTTTTGTATTGCCCTAACACAGTTTAGGTAGGGTGTACTTGCAAAAGTAGCTTCAGAACAAGCCCTTTTTAAGAAACACGGTCAGAGCTTAGGCTGGACAAAGCCTAGGGAAGGAGTTTCACTGGAAGGTCTTAGCTATCAGAGTGGGGGTGATGGTCCACCACCAGGCTTGGCCAGGCACGCGATTATGGGGCGAAACTGATGGTGGTGGTAATGAAGTCACGTCCTCCTCTCCTTGTGAAGTCAAAATCGTTAAAAAACCAGAGCGCTCACGTCATGCAGGCTTGAGGCCTCCCTTTGGTCCTTCGGTCCCTGGCCAACGAAACCATCTCAAACGCAGCGGGTAGGGGTTACCAACTGGTTAGTTAACCCAAGTCCTCCGCCCCGGGGCGGGTCTCCGCAATAGGATCTCGCCTGGGCTCGCTGGCCTGCCCAGGCCTGAGCCGGCCCGCCCCTCCCCTCCCCGCATGGCCTGCTGGGAGTTGTAGTTCAGTCGTCGAAGAGCCGCGCCAAGCCCCCTCCCTCTCTTCCGCTTCCTCCCTGCCCCGGATGAGTGCGCAGAATAGGGACAGCGGGCGGGGGCAGCCAAAGAGCGTGGGACTACAATTCCCAATGGCCTGCCGCCGCGGGTGTGCAGTCCCAGGTAGCCGGCGACGCGCTTGCTCGCACGAGCACGCGCGTCGGGCGGTGGCAGGATTCGGCCGCGTGCGGCGGCAGGATTCGGCCGCGTGCGGCTTTCCGTTCCGGCTCGGCCCGCGCTCGCTGCGCCTAGCGCTGTCCGTCGGGCCTCGCACACCCGCCCTGTGGTCGTTCCCTCGAAGCTCTCCGCGCCCCTCCTTCACCCCAGTTTCTTTTAGAGGCCAGGCCCCGCCCGTTTCCCGCCTCCTGGGCCCGGTTCGTTCCCGATTCAGCCCGCCCCTCTCTGCGCCCCTGCTGCCTCTGCTGCAGGCGGAGGCTCCATGTTGTCCCCTCAGCGAGTGGTAGCGGCTGCCTCGGGAGGAGCAGGTGAGGCGCCCAATTTTCCCCGCCGCCCTCCCGACTAGAGCCCCGAGGAGACCGCCCGCCCGCCCGCCCGCCCGCCCGCACCGCCGCAAGTTCGTCGTCCCGGGGTCGGGACCCCGCGCCCCTCGCCGGAGTACCCTCGGCCCGCGAATTCAGGGCCGGGTGCTGCTAGCGAGGCCCGGCCGGCGGGGCGCGGGCGGCGCCTCCCTGGGCTCCCGGTGGGAGCGGCCGCCCTCGGGTCGGGGTCGGGGTCGGGGTCGGGGTCGGGCCCGCGCTCCGGGGAGGCCGGCAGGGCTGGAGGGCCGGGGGGCGGGCGGGCGGTGTCCCGCGGCTGCGGCCCTGCCGGCCCCGCCCGCGTCGAGGGCGCGCTCCGGGGCTGCGGCCCCCTCCCTGCCTGGCCCTTCGCAGGCTCGCGGGCCGGGAAGGTGGATGCTTTTAGGTCCAGTCTTTTACAAAGTGCTGGAGCGTCTTGGTGTTGGAAGCTTTATTTTTATCCTAACGACCTCGAGGCGCTGACGACAATTAGGAAAGTTGATTTTTAAACCCACGCTAATTTCCATAAGCGAATTAACAGACTGTGGCCTAAATTGCTTTTTAAGAAGTTCTTTTAGTACGTTTGGCACCGTACGTTGTTCCGTTGCTTTCCCGAGGACATGAAAAGATAGCAAAATAATTCAAAACTAAGAGAGTCATTAAAAATGGAAGGATACTTCATGTCATTTTTACCTGGCTTTATTCTTGCTTAATGTGTATGCTGTTGACATCGCCAAAAGTTCCACTTGCGAAATTTAAAGGCAGAAAAAGAAAGCATTAAATCCCAGCCCTCAAAAAATTTGTATACGAAGTTGGGTGGACTGTTTTGTGAAAGGGAGAAGAAAACCGCGATCTCATGTTTTGTCTTCTTTTGGAGAAGTTTCTGAAAAGCTACGTGGTTTTGATCCATGTCAAGTGTTCATCATTGCAGTGAACCGAAATTCCAATTAGGGCTTCCCCCCCCCCCCACTTTGCATAGAAACTAGCTTGTAGGGGATCCCTGGGTGGCTCAGCGGTTTCACGCCTGCCTTTGGCCCAGGGCACGATCCTGGAGTCCCGGGATCGAGTCCCGCTTGGGCTCCCGGCATGGAGCCTGCTTCTCCCTTTGCCTGTGTCTCTGCCTCTCTCTCTCGGTCTCTCATAAATAGATAAAAATAAATCTTAAAAAAAAAAAAAAGAGACTAGCTTATAGTTTACAAGTCCCTGTTTCTGCTTTGCCACCTGTAAAGGAAAGGCTTAGATGAAAAGGACTTCTATGTAGTGAAGAATGAACACTACTATTAACAGCACATTGTTTTATTAACTACCCCTTACTGTATTGGAGTGATCGTGAAATTCAGAAAAATGACAACAGAGGATAAATACGTATACTAGCATATTTTTTTGTAGTTTCCACTCCATAGGACTTGTTTAGAATAGGCTTTTTGAAATTGGTATTCTGTGGTGGAGCACGTGTGTTTTTCATTTCTATGCCTTCTGAACCTTAGAATAAAGGGTAGGTGCACACTAATTCTTTAAAATGAGTTAATAGAGGATTGTAAGAAGCAAGAAATTAACAGAAAGTTGTCTTCCTCCCCTAAGCCCCAGTGGTAGGTCGTTTAACAGTTTGGTTACATATTAAGATTCCTATGAAATAGGGAACCCTAGGTTGTGTGAACTTGTTTGAGAATGGTGTAAGAATTTACCTATAATGACTAGGCATGCCTGTTAAAGTTTCTATTGGCTTGTGAGCTGAGAAATTCTTCAAATAACATAGCTGCATTTTAAAGCTAATTTGAATTTTAAAACATTTTTCCAAGTTCTCTTTGAGGTTTTAGGAGTATATTCTCTAAAAAACATCAAGGGGGAAAGTGAGGATAAAGCTTTTATCTAAAAGAAAAAAAAACCTTTAGTTGCTGTAGGTCTGTGAATCTCAGGTCTGCTGCATGATTAAAATAACCTGTGATATTTAAAACCTGACGATGCATGGAACCCACAGATTCTGATTTACTTCCTTCAGTGGCCAAGCAACAGTTAAAAAAAGAACCCTGAGTAATTCTAATTTGTATAGTAATGTAAAATTCTCCTATAGGTGGTTGCTTACATTTGAATTGGTTTGTTACTTTATAGGAAGTATAATTTATAATATCAGTGTTTGTTACTAGAAGTTGATGCTTTTTGCAAATTTGTAAAAAATGTTTTTTATTAGCATGTATTTAGATAGAACTTATTGATATATTTTACAGCTAAAATATATTACCGGTTAGGAAATAGACTATACTGGTATAGTCAGTGAAAAAACAAGGTAGATTAACTTTTAATGTCTTGAAATGATAAGGAATCCAAGTCAAATATTGCAAATTAAAACCTTATTCATCTGGAACACAAAACTTTCGGGTAACCAAATTGATTTTGGCAATTTTTTTATTTTTAGGGAAGAGTCAAATAAGATGAATATTGAACTCACTCTATTAAAAAAAAGTTTGTTTGTTTTTTTTTTTCTATAGCATAGCCTGGCATCATTTTTAGATTCAGCCTGGTCTTTGCATTTCTGAATCTTAGGTACTGTTTAGTCATAATTGACCTTATAAATCCATAAAGCACTACAAAATTGACGAAATGTGGTTTTGTTCAGCATTCTGTGCTAAAGTAGGAAGATGTTATGCCAGATGAATTGAGAAAAGGTTTTCTCTTAAACTCTTTAATTGATTAGAATGTATATTTCCCTCAATATTCTCTTTTGTTGGTTATAAGTATTTTTATTGAAACAGCCAAAGAAATGTACGTGTATCTACTAGCATACTTACTGCCTTAAGACAGAGTATATAAAAGCACTCTCCCACCTTGAGCCAAATGGAACCACTTCCAGCAGTTTGAGTTGGCTGAGAGCTTACCCTCATATATGATGATGTGTTTTCTCTGGCCTTGCCTGAATTAGGAACTTTAAAGACTGCCAGTGAGAACAAGGCCTGAAATGGTATGCTTCTGTTTTTGGGTGTGTTGCTCTTGTCCTTTAGTAAATGGGTTTCAAAAGGAGAGTGGAAAACTCAGGTCATAACTTTACCCTGAGTCATACACTCTACTTGGTGAAATGTTTCTGAAACTGTAGTTAATTTGATTTGCTTTGTGGAGCTCTCTGAATAGTAAAGATGAACACCAAGGCTGGCTCTACCATAGTGGTTCTTTTTTTTTTTTTTTTTTTGATCCCGGGACTCTAGGACGGCGCCCTGAGCTAAAGGCAGATTCTCAACCACTGAACCACTCAGGCATCCCACCACAGTGATTCTTAACCCAGGGTGATTTTGCTGTGTTGGGACATTTAGCAATATCTGGAGACATTTTGGGGTCTTATAAGCAGGAGGTAGCACTACTGGTATCTAGCGGGTAGAGGCCAGAGTTGCTGCTAAATATCCTACAATGAATAGGATAGTTCCCCACAACTGAGCTATCCAGTATAAAATACTGGTAGTACCAAGGTTGGGAAACCCTGGTCTATACTGTTGAATTGATCAACTAAATTCTGTATGAATTTTCTGAAGTAGCAGTTGTACCTGCTTCCAGGTAACTAGTTTCATTGAATTTATCACTGTTCAGGTGGGCTTTTCAAATATTTGAGGGGAATTTAAACTTTTTCCCCCTATAATGTTTTTTTTTTTAATTTTTATTTATTTATTTATGATAGTCACACAGAGAGCTAGAGAGAGGCAGAGACATAGGCAGAAGGAGAAGCAGCCTCCATGCACCAGGAGCCCGACGTGGGATTCGATCCCAGGTCTCCAGGTTCGCACCCTGGGCCAAAGGCAGGCACCAAACCGCTGCGCCACCCAGGGATCCCTTATTTTCTGATAGAATTTATTTCTTAGAATTTTTTTTTTCTTTTTTCTTTATTTATGAGAAACACACACAGAGAGACAGAGACACAGGCAGAGGGAGAAGCAGGCTCCATGCAGGGAGCCTGATGTGGGACTTGATCCCTAGTCTCCAGGATCAGGCCCTGGGCTGAAGGCGGCGCTAAACCGCTGAGCCACCTGGGCTGCCCGAATTTATATTTTCCATAGAACTGAAAGGCCAATTATGGATCAGTAGTCTCACCTACTTTTATTTAGTCTATGCAGCTACTTTTTTTTTCTTTTTTAAGATTTATTTATTTATTAGAGAGAGGGGAGAGGGGGGTGAGCGCACAAGTGGGAGGGGCAGAAAGGGAGAGAGAATCCAAAGCAGACCATGTATTGAGTGTGGAGCCCATTGTGGGGCTTCCATCTTACAACCTCCAGGTCACAACCTGAGCTGAAACCAAGAGTCAGATAGATGGTCAACCGATTGTGTCATCCAAGACACTCTTGCAGCTACTTTTAAAAAAAATCTCTTAAAAATTCAGTGTTAGGTCATTCTAGAAGAGCTAATATTGTAATTTGGTCAGATCACTACAAAGACTTCCCTGTGATAGTTTCACCTGTTAGTCTTTCACCTTATTTCTACTTGGATTGTCTGTGTCATTTTAGTGCAGAGCCAGTCTGTTGAATGCAATTATTACAGAAATTATTTGAATAGGTATACTTAAACCTATTGGTTAGTCTGGATTAAGTTGTGTTTTTACCAAAAGTAAAGGGTAAATCAGTACTTTAAAAGGTAATTAGAGAAAAGGTCGTCGCCTCCACATAAACTGTTGAAAGGCTTTTTAATTATCCAAATATTTTCAGCATTTCCTACATACCTGAAATGATGGCTGATTCAGGATTACTGTGCACTATTTACAGCATTGTTAGAATTTTATTTTTTAAGATTTCATTCATTTATTTATGAGAGACACAGAGAGGCAGAGACAGGCAGAGGGAGAAAGAGGCTTTATGCAGGGAGCCTGACGTGGGACTCAATCCCGGGTCTCCAGGATCACTCCCTGGGCCAAAGGCAGACACTCAACCACTGAGCCACCTAGGCGCCCAGTATTTGTCAGAATTAACAGCATGATATGGTATTTTTCTACTCCCCCC